GCTGAAAATGCAGTTGACACAATTCAACATTCCTTCATGTTAAAAGTCTTGGAAAGATCAGTAATTCAAGGCCCATGCCTAAACATAGTAAATACAGCAAATCAGTAGCCAACATCAAACTAAATGGGGAGAAACTTCAAGCAATCTCATTTAAATCAAGGTCTAGACAAGGCTGCCCACATTCTACCTATCTATTCAATATAGTAATTGAAGTTCTAGCTAAAGCAATTAGACAACAAAAGGAGGTCAAAAGGATACAAATTGGAAAGTCAAAATATCACTATTTGAAGATATTATGGTAGTATACTTAAGTGATCCCAAAAATTCCACCAGAGAATTCCTAAACCTGATAAGCAACTTCAGTGAAGTGGCTGGATATAAAATTAATTCAAATAAATCAGTAGCCTTCCTCTACTCAAAGGATAAACAGGCTGAGAAAGAAATTAGGGAAATGACACCCTTTGCAATAGTCACAAATAATATAAAATATCTTAGTGTGACTCTAACCAAACAAATGAGAGATCTGTATGATAAGAACGTCAAGTCTCTGAAGAAAAAAATCATAGATGATCTCAGAAGACGGAAGGATCTCTCATGCTCATGGATAGGCAGAATTAATGTAGTAAAAATGATCATCTTGGTGAAAGCAAACTGCAGATTCAATGCAATCCCCATCAAAATTCCAACTCAATTCTTTATAGAGTTATAAAGAGCAATTCTCAACTTCATTTAGAATAACAAAAACCCAGGATAGCAAAAACTATTCGCATCAATAAAAGAACTTCTATGGAAATCACCATCTTTAAGCTATATTACAAAGCAATAGTGAAAAAACTCTCGATAAGACAAAAGTGGCAACCAACAGATTGGGAAAAGATCTTTACCAATCCTTTACCTGATAGATGGCTAATATCCAATATATACAAGGAACTCAAGAAGTTAGACTACAGAGAATCAAATAACCCTATTTAAAGTAGGGCACAGGGCTAAACAAAGAATGCTCAACTGAGGAAACATGAATGGCAAAGAAGTTCCTAAAGAAATTTTCAGCATCCTTAGTCATCAGGGAAATGCAAATCAAAACAACCCTGAGATTCCACTTCACACCAGACAGAAAGGTTAAGATAAAAAACTCAGGTGACAGCAAATGCTGGCAAGAATGTAGAGAAAGAGGAACACTCCTCCATTGTTGGTGGAATTGCAAACTGGTACAACCACTCTGGAAATCAGTCTGGGGGTTCCTCAGATAATGTGACAAAATATTACCTGAGGACCCAGCTCTACTACTCCTCAGCATATACCCAGAAGAAGCTCAAATATATAACAAGGACACATGCTCCACTATGTTCATAGCAGCCTTATTTATAATACCCAGAAGCTGGAAAGAACCCAGATGTCCTGCAACAGAGAAATGGATACAGAAAATGTGGTACATTTATAATGGAGTACGACTCAGCTTATAAAAACAATGAATTCATGAAATTCACAGGCAGTTGGATGGAGCTTGAAAATATCAACCTGAGTGAGGTAACCCAGTCAAAAAAGAACACAAATAGTATGCACTCACTGATAAGTGGATATTAGCACAAATGCTTGGAATACCCAAGATAAAATTCACAGACCACATGAAGTTCAAGAAGAAGTAAGACCAATGTGTGGATACTTCAGTGATTCTTAAAAGGGGGAACAAAATATCATGGGGGAAAAATGGAAACAAAGTGTGGAGCAGAGACTGAAGGAAAGGCTGTCCAGAGACTACCTCATCTGGAGATCCATTCCATATACAGTCACCAAACCCCACACTATTGTGGATGGCAAGAAGTGCATGCTGACAGGAGACTGATATAGCTGTCCACTGAGATGCTCTGCCAAAGCCTGACAAATACGGAGGCGGATGCTCACAGCCAACCATTGGATGTGGGCTGTCCCACATCAATTACTAATTAAGAAAATGCCTTACACCTGTGTCTTATGGAGACTTTTGTCAATTGAGTTTCTTTCCTTTCAGAAAACTCTAGACTGTATGCCAGGCTGACATAAGAGCAACCAACACACATGGTTACATTTGTATGAATAACCAGAGCAGGCAAGCATACAGGAACAGAGGCAGAGAATGGTTTATGGGGAGCAGTATTTGGAAGCAGATGGCACCACAAATGGACACAAAGATTCTTGAGGGGATTATAAGACTTTTCTACAACTAAATTGTACCTGTTATTTCTTAACATGATGAAGTCACAAAAAAATTGTGAACTTATACATTTAAAATGGGCACATTTTGTAGAATGAAAATTATATTTTTGCAAAGCGTTCAACAAGGCAAATAATTTTAAATTAATTTTTAATATATTTAAATTTTATTTTATTATAGCTTATATTATTTTATTTAAAATACAATTAACATTGTTTTTCCTTTTCCTCTTCCTCCAGCCAGCCCCTCCCATAATTCCCCCTTTAACCTCATGGTCTATTTGTGTTTAATTGTTATTATTACATTTATATGTAACCAAATAAACATATATAAATATTTTTTAAAAAATGAAAACAGATGTTCTCAAATGTGTGTAGAGAGAATGCCATACACTGTCAATAAGATTATAACCTGGTGCATTTACTATAGAATTCAACATGAAGTTTTCATTTTTTTAAATCCTAAAATTAAACTACTGTGTGACCTTGTGATAGTGTTTTCTAAGTCAGCACAACATATAGACACTTAGACATCCATTTATATCTTTAAATTTTTTACAGGTATGTGTATATGCATGTTACATCTGTGTCTAAATACACACATGCATTATTTTATAGGCCAGAGAGTAATGTCTCATAGTGAGTGTCTTCTACTATGTGAGTCCCAAGGATCAAACTCAAAATTGTCAGACAATTACCTTTACCATCTGAGCCAACTCACTAACCCCATGTGTCAATTTTTATAGCTTTAATTTTCATGGTAGCCAAAAGAAAAGACAAGAAGTCCATCAATAGTTGATTGAATAGAGAAAGATGTGGTACACAATGGAGTTGTGTACAGCCATAAGAAAAATTACAACAGGACACTTATATGAAAATGGATAGAACTGCATATCAGTATGTTGGCTGAAATAAGATAGATTCAGAAAGAAAAACACTCCAAGTTTTTTTTTTAATGTGGAAAATATACATAAAATTATATACATGAGTATGCATTTTTATGTGGGTTTGATCACAAAATAGAGAGGAGCTCATGAGAAGGAATTATGAAAAGTGAGTAATAAAGATGGTTGTAGAACACATGTACCAAGAAAGCAAGCAGGGGTGGCAGGACTGACTGGAGAACAAAATGGAACTAGCTAGAGGAAAATGATGATTTAAGGACTGGGGGAGGAGAAGGACAAGAAATGAGAAAATGTGACGGTGTAAATAAAAGTGTTTGGGTATTCCAACCTAAGAACTTGGTAGAAAATAAATTTAAGAAAAGAAAAGAAGGTAAAAAGGATAAAACTGTTTTCCTTTGAAGTGAAACATGATGGCAAGTCAATAGACGGTTTGAAGACACCACAATGAGGGAATGAGGAGTTGCAGTTCAATGGACAAATGGCAAGAAAAAGAAAAGATCTTATAATTTGTTCTCAGAGAGTTTAATTTTTCATGATGAGAAGAGATGTCTTTAAATGTTTCTATTTCCTTTCTGAGTATACAACAAACATCAGTGCAGAGGAACTTAAAATGCTTTCCATATGAGAACTACTAAGCCTTAGACAGATTGACCCACAATAGTCTCCAAATAACACAAAGCTGATCACTGTTGGGAACAAAGGAAGGGCTTTCTAAAGGAAGGGCTTTCTAAAGGAAGGGCTTGCTGCTGCCTTATGTGTTTTTGTTTGTAATCGATCATGTGAAAGAAAGTTATATGGCCCATATGATAACAATCTCATAGCAATTAACTTATTTCTACAAATAACTTTTTGTACAATGAACATGAAGGGACAAAAAAAGTAAGGCAACATGGTCAAGAAGAAACAGAAAATATGATGATAGAAATAGAAAAACATGTTAAAACTACTGAAAAATTCAACATAACTCTGGGTATTACATTCAAGGAGATAAAATATAAAATTAAAAATTGTTCAAAACCCTTGCTTCTGGCTGGGAATTTATGTTAGTAGAACATTAGTATGAGACTCTGGTTTCAATCACCAGCATAGAAACAAACAAAACAACCAAATAACTAGATATTCAAGGTGACATACCAGATGAGACATTGAGGGAATAAACCATGGAAAACAGTGTAGATCTTCATAATTAAAAAGAGCCCACCATATGATCAGTGACCATGTTACTAGTTATATAGCCAATGAAATAGCATCACCATACTCAACCCTATTATCATCCAATGCTGTACCACTTTCTCTATAGTCAAGGCATGCACTGGTTTGATATAGAAAAGAAAAAAAAGTCATTATATATATATATATATTTGAGTATTATTTAAAAATACACAAAGAAAGGTAAAAACTTATTGATGAAAATAGATGAACATTAAAAGACCAGATTAAGTGAAACCAGTCAATGCAGAGAAATAGTTGCCACATCTCTTTCCCACATAGAAAAGCAAAAAGCAACAAACAAACAAACAACTTGTCATTTTAATGTTGAACTATGATTACTAGGAATTATGAAGACTCCTGAGCAAGGAAAGGGTGAAAGTGTAAGAGAGTGATTGCCAGTCCATGCTATGTTCATAGATGGAAATAAAACAACAAATCTACTAATTGAAATGAAGGCTGATAATTTCTTTAAAAGGGAAATCTACCCTAAATATGTAAGATTGTCTTTATTGACACAGGTAGCTACACTAGTAAGAATCCCAAGGGATCACTACAGGGAGAAGACAGTCCAGAAACACATCAGTCCATAAAAGAGGACCTGGGTGTCAGAAACGTCCTTCAACAGGAAGACCAAGGAGCAGCAAGGTATGAGGATACCTGGTAGTGTGTGGTTTAAACTCAAAGACATCTTACCTTTTTCAAATCTTCATAGCTCAGGAACATTATATTGAAGTCATGTCTGTGCTCATACCAGCCTCTAATGTGATCAAACCAACGGCTTCCTACAACTGAAGGACAAGTTACTGAGGACCAAAGTGAAGGCATTATGCATACTGAACACAAAACTCAATTTGTTTTCTTTGCTTGTTTAGACCATCAGGAATCAAAATGAAACCCCTATAATTGAATGTCTATATGACTACTTTAAAGAAATTATTTGTGTAGTCACAATATTTTCAAATACTGGGTAAAGTTTACTCTTCTGTTCCTTAAATATGGCTTTGTTATATTAACTCTTAGAAGCTCCTACATCAAATTTTCATGAACTTTCCTTATCTTTCATTCTGTGCCTTGCCAATAAAATCTGCCTAGCCAAAACAAAGCTTTAGAAACAGAATAGGTGGGACTTCTGATTCTAAGAAGGTTAGAAACAGAAAGAGGAGAGGAGGAAGGAGCTATAGGGGAAGTGAAGAAAACATGTGGAGAAGAGAATGGAATCAAGAAAGGATGATAAATTTCAAGTACTTTGATTGAGAATATAGTCTGTGAGGAAACCTGACTAACTTGGAGCTTTAGAAAGGAGTAGTAATTGCCTAGTATTTTTCTCAAGGAAATTTTAATAAATCTTAGTATTTCTGTAAGGTTATTGGGTAATTAGCTTGTTAAGAAATACAGCTGTCAGATTAATTCATTCTTGATTTTCAGTTAAAGGAAAAATGAAAAACTCAGTGTTCTTCCAAGTGTATGCTATGCAGAGTACACATTCACTCTCAACTTTAGCTGCATGACTCTTCCTGTGGCGTAAGCTAGGGGGAAAATCAATAAAGTATTTGTAAACATCTTATGGTCTTACAAAATATCTCCTACTTAACACAGCATTGTAAAGTTAACAACTGTCACATGGTCCTACCAATGGCTGAAAAACTGTTCTGCATTAGGTTGGGTTGATCAAAATTATTATTACTCTATATATGCATCCCACTGGCCCCCCGATCTCTTTGCTAAATGTTCCCTACATTGAAATGGTTTACGTGTCATCTCTCCTTTTTATATTAGTGAGAGTGATAAATGTTGTTACCTTTTCCATCTAGAAATTTTTCCACATAATTGTCTATGGTATCTATAGGTTCAAAGGTAACCACCCATTTTGAAAAATGAAAAAATGAGATCAAAACATCTTTGGGATTTCTGTAAATATAAAGAATCTGCAGAAAAAATAGAAAGTTGCTTTAGTAATTCTTAGTTATCCTATTAAGTTCTGAACAATTATATAATTCATTTTCTAAAGACATCTTTATATTCATCCAGGTAATAGTTATGAAAGTTTTGTTAGTTATGAACTTGTTTCATACTATAAAACATGAATGAATATTTTTATTTACATAGTATTTGATACATGTACAATAAAACAAGTCACCTTTCTAGAAATTATATTATTTGTAAAGTTGGTGAACACAGTAAGTACATTTTTCTTAAGGCTATAACAAATGACATTGATTGACTTATCTGAGATATTTGATATATAGCAAAGGTAATACTGGAAATAAATAGAAAATATTTTTAAATGAAATGTTATCTTGGTACAAGCATCAACTGTACCCACATATAGAAAGAAAATTCATGAGAGGTCCATCTTCCTTCACACCTAGACCTCTACCTGCAATCATGGATCAGCAAACTACATACCACCCCACAGCGCTGCTACATCCAGGGAATACTGAAGCTATCTTGGGCAACCAGAGGCTTACTACTCCCAGAGAGACTACCAGACCAGCCAACACCAGAAACAAGCAGATGTTAAAAGGCAAGTGCAAGAACATAATCAACAGAAGCCAGTGCAATAGGCATCATCAGAACCCAGAAAGCTCTGGATGCCTTTACACACCTGAAAAGCAAGGTTTTGACCTTAAATCACATCCCATGAAGATGATGGAGGGAGGCCTTTAAAGAGGATATAAATAAATATCTTAAAGAAACACAGGAAAACATAATCAAACAGATAGAAACAAATAAATCCCTTAAAGAAATAAAGAGAAATATAATCAAACAGGTGAAGGAATTGAATAAAACAGTCCAAGACCTAAAACATGGAAATAATACCTATAAAAAAGCATTAATGGAGGCATCCATGGAGATGGAATACCTGTGAAATCAAACAGGAATTACAAACTCAATCATATCCAACAGAATATAAGAGATGGAAGAGAAAATCTCAGGTATAGAAGATATCATAGAAGAAAATGTTACATTGGTCAAAGAAAATGCCCAAAATTACAAGAACACAATCAACAGATGCTAGTACAGTATGACACAATCAGAAGCTAGCTCTCTACTACAGCAAGCCCTGGATGTCCTAACACACCTGAAGAGTAAGACCTTAAATCTTATGTCAAAAAGATGAAAGAGTACATAGTTTCTAACACAAAACATCCAGGAAATTTGGAACACTAAGAAAGGACCAAACCTAAGAACAAGAGGACTAAAAGAGGGTGAAGATTCCCATTCTAAGGGCCAGAAAATTCCTTCAACAAAATCATAGACAAAAAAATTCCATAACCTAAAGAAGGAGATGGTTATAAGCCAAATAAATTGGACCAGAAAAGAAAATACTCCTGCAACGTAATGAAATGAAAACACTAAATGAACAAAACATAGAAGGAATATTAAAAGTCACAAAGGAAAAGGACCAAGTAACATACAAAGCATACCTATCAAAACTTTACCTGACTTCTCAACAGCGACTATAAAAGCCAGAGAATCTTATACATATATCTTGCAGACCCTAAGAGACCACAGATGCCAACACAAACTACTATACCCAGTGAAACTTTCAATCACCATAGATGGAGAAACCAAGACATTTCATGACAACACCAATGTTTAAACATATCTTTCTACCAATCCAGCCCTATAGAGTATACTAGAAGGAAAATTCCAATACAATGAAGGTAACTACATCCAAGAAAACACAAGAAATTAATAATCTCACACCAAAACCAAAGTAAGGGAAACACACACACAGAGAGACACACACACACACAATCACCACCAACAACAAAATGACAGGAGCTAATAATCATTCGTTATCAGTATCCAACATCAATGGACTCAGTTCACCAATAAAAAGACACAGGCTAACAGACTGGATACTTAAATGGTGTCCATCAATCTACTACATACAAAAACCATACCTCAGCAACAAAAAAGACACTACTTCAGAATAATGGGCAGGAAAAAGGTTCCCAACCAAATGGACTGAAGATGCAAACTGGAGTAGCCATTCTAATATCTAACAAAATATACTACAAGCCAAAAGTAATCAAAAGAGATGGGAAAGGACACTTTAGATCCATTGAAGGAAAAATCCACCAGGATGACACTTTAGTTCTGAACATCTGTGTCCCAAAAGTAATAGTATCCACATTCATTAAAAAAAAATTACTAAACCTCAAATGACACATTGAACCCACTACAATAATAATGAGGGACTTCAACACTCCACTCTTACCAATGGACAGGTCATTGAAAGAGAAACTAAACAGACTAATAATTAAATTAACAGAGGCTATGATTGAAATGGAAGTGACATATATCTACAGAAATTTTCACCCCAAAACAAAAGAATATACCTCTTCTCAGCACCTCATTAAACCTTACCCAAAAATTGACCATATATTTAAGAACAACATAAGCCTCAAAAGACATAAGAAGATTTAAACAAACCCTTGCATCTTATCAAATCAGCATAGAATAAGGCTGGAATTTAACAACAGAAACAACAGAAAGCCCACATATTCATGGAAATTGAACAACTCTCAACTCAATGATAACTTGGTCAGGGAAGAAATAAAGAAATTAAAGAATTTCTAGAGATCAAGAAAAATAAAGACATAACATTCCCAAGTTTATGGAACACAATAAAAGCAGTGCTAAAAGGAAAGTTGATAGCACTAAGTGCCTTCATAAAGAAATTGGAGAAGTCTTCTACTAGCAATTTAACAGCATACCTGAAAACTCTAAAACAAAAAGAAACAAACTCAAGAAGAGTAGATGGCAGGAAACAGTCAAACTCAGGGCAGAAATCAATCAATTAGAAAAAAAGAGACCAATAAAAAGAATCAACAAAACCAAGAGTTGGATCATTGAGAAAATCAACAAGACAAACAAACTTCTAGCTAAAAATACCTAAAAGGCAGAGAGGCAATATCCGTGTTAACAAAATTAGAAATGAACAGGGAAACATTGTAACAGAAACTGAGAAATTTCTTTAAAAAATATCATCAAATTTTATTTCAAAAGTCTGAGGTACTAGACAAAAATGGAAAATCTAAATGAAATGGATGATTTTCTAGACAGATGCACCTTACCAAAATTAAATCAAGATCTGGTAAACTATCTATGCTGTTTTATAACCCCTGAAGAAATAAAAGCAGTCATGTAAAAATCTCCCAATCAAAACAATTTCAAGGCCAGATAGTCTTAGTGCAGAATCCTACCAGACATTCAAAGAAGAATTAATACCAATACTCCTCAAACTATTACACACAACAAAAAACAGAAGGAACACTAGCTACCTAATTCTATGAGGCCACAGTCACTCTGATACCTATACCACACAAAGACTCAACAAAGAAAATTTCATGACCATCAATGTCAAAATACTCAATAAAATTCTTGCAAACCAAATCCAAGAATACATCAAAAATACATTCACCAGGATCAAGTAGGCTTTATCCCAGGAGTACAGGGATGGTCCAATATATGAAAATCTATCAACATAACATACTATATAAATAAATTGCAAAAAAAATAATCATGTCATCATCTCACTAGATGCTGAAAACCCTTCAACAAAATCCAACTCCATTTCATGTTAAAGTTTTAGACAGATCAGGGATACAAAGCACATATCTAAATATAGTAAAAGTAAAAATACAACAAGTCAATACCAAACATGAAATTAAATGTAGAGAAACATAAAGCTGTCCCACTAAATCATGACAAGACAAAGCTGCCTACTCTCTCCCTACTTATTCAATATACTAATTGGAATTCTAGCTAGAGCTATAAAACAACAAAAGAAGATCAAAGGGTTACAAATTGGAGAGAAAGAAGTTAATGTATCACCATTTATGGATGATATGATAGTGTATATAAGCAACCCCAAAAATTCTAACAGAAAATATCTACAGCTGATAAACAACTTCAGCAAAGTAGCTGGTTATAAAATTCACTCAAAGAAATTAGTAGCCCTCCTTTACAAAATTATAAATGGGCTGAGAATGAAATTCAGAAGCAATACCCTTCATAATAGCCACAAATAATATAAAATATCTTGTTATAACTGCAATCAAGCAAATGAAAGTTCAGCATGAAAAGAACTTTAAGTCCCTAGAGATAGAAACTGAAGAAGATTTCAGAAGATAGAAAGAGATCTCATGCTTATGGATCAGTAGGATTAACATTCTGAAAATGGCCATCTTAACCAAAAGCCAAATCTACAGTTTCAATGGAATTCCCATCAAAATTCCAGCACAATTCTTTAAAAACCTTGAAAGAGGAATTCTCAACATCATTGGAAAAGCAAAAAACCCAGGACAGCTAAACTAATTCTGAATGATAAGAGGACTTCTAGAGGCATCATCACCACTGATTTCCAGCTGTATTATAAAGCAATAGTTATAAAAAACAACATTGTATTTGCATAGAAACTAACAGGTTGATCAATGAAATTGAATGGAAGACCCAGAAATAAACCCACACAACTATGGACATTTGATCTTTGACAAACAAGCCAAAATCATACATTGAAAAAAAAGAAATCACCCCCAAGATATGGTGCTGATCTAACTGAATGTCTGCATGTAGAAAAATACAAGTAGATTCATATTTATAACCCTGCATAAAACTCAAGTCCAAGTGGATCAATGACCTTAAAATAGAACTAGATACTCTAAACCTCATGGACGAGAAAGTGGGACATAGCCTTGAATGCATTTGTATCAGAGACAATTTCTTGAACAGAATATCAATGTCTCAGGCTCTAAGATCAACAATTGATAAATAAGATCTCCCAAAACTGAAAAGATCCTGTAAGGCAAAGGACAATGTCAACAGGACAAAATGCCAACCTACCATTTGGAAAAAGATTTTCGTTGGCTCTACAAGCAACAGAGGGCTAATATCCAAAAAAATACAAAGAACTCAAGAAGTTAGACTCCAACCAACCAAAAAAGGCAAATTAAAAATAGGGTACAGCACTAAAAGAAAATTCTCAACAGAGGAATCTAAAATGGTTAAGAAGCACTTAAATAAATGTTTGACGTCTTTAGCCATTAGGGAAATGCAAATCAAAATGACCCTGAGATTCTATCTTATAACAATCAGAATGGCCAAGATCAAGAACTCAAACAACAACACATCCTGGTGAGAATGTGGAGAAAAAGGAGCACACCTACATTACTGGTAGGATTAAAAACTTGCACATCTACTTTGAAATCAATCTGGCAGTTTCTCAGAAAATAGGAAAAAGTTTTAACTAGAGACCTTGCTATACAGCTCCTGGCCATATACCCAGAAGATACTCCACAAGGATTCATGTTCCACTATGTTTATACCAGTTTTATTCATAGTAACCAGAAAGTGAAAACAACCCAGTTTCTGGACACAGAAAATGTGGTTCATTTCAACAATGGAGTACTATTCAGCTACTAAAAACAAGGGCATCTTAAATTTTGCAGGCAAGTGGATGGTACTAGAAAATACCATCCTGAGTGAGATAACCCAGACCAAAAGGACATGCATGGTATGTATGTACTGATGACTGGATATTAGCCAGGAAGTGCAGGATACCTGTGATATAACCCACAGACTCAAAGAAGTTAAAAAAGAAGGAAGGCTCACACAATCGAGGATGTTTGAGTCTCAATTAGAAGTGGTGAATAATATAGTCATAGGAGGCAGAGAGAGGAAGGGAATTTGATGGGAGAGGGAGGACAAAAAAAAAAAAAAACGAAGAGTCTACCTCCTATACCCCCTATAGCCTAGCAAGACCCCCAATGAGGGATAAGGACACCAACCCACCCACAACACTTTCCATCCAAAATTTGTCCTATCTGAAAAAAATACATAGATGAAGATGGAGCAGAGACTAAAGGAATAGACAAACAATAACTTGTTCAACTTAAGACCTACCCCACTGGCAAGCCCCAATACTTGACACTATTAATGATATTCTTTTATGTTTGCAGAGAGGAGCCTAGTATAATTGTCCTCTTGGAGGCTCTGCCCATCAACTGACTGAAGGAGATGCAGATAACCCCAGCCAACAATTGCAAGGATGACAGGGACTCTTACAGAAGAGTTGTAGAAAGAATTGAAGGTCTTGAAGGAAATAGATACTCCACAGAAAGACTAACATAATCAACTAACCTAGACACTTGGGAGCTCTCAGAGACTATGACACCAACCAAAGAGCATACACATGCTGAACCAAACCATTAGTATATTGTGTGGCCTTTTCTGCCTGCAGTAGGAGAAGATGTGCCTAACCTTACAGGGTCTTGATGCACCAGAGTTGTGGGATACCCAAGGAGGCCACACTCTCAGAGGAGAAGGGGAAGGAGGATGGGAAGGGACTCTGTGATGGGGTAAATGGGAGGGGGACAGTATTTGTAATATTGATTAATAATAAATTTTAAACATTCTATCATACTATTATGCATAATAACTAATTAGTATATTAAAGGCATTAGACCAAAAATAAACATATTTCTTGTCTTGAAGCAAGGAAAGATTTCTTAAGTGAGGTCTTGTTCTGATAGACTTTTATTTGGGTTTTTCTTTTGAGAAAGAACTTAAAGTAGGGAGGATAGGAGTAAGGAGAGAATCTGGAAGGATGTGGGAAATGAATAATCATTGACAAGTATATTGTGAGTATTAGATCAATAATAGATATAATTCTAGTCTTGAAATAAGGAACAATTTCTTCAATAAAGTCTCGATATTATATTAGCGTTTTTGTTTTTGTTTTGTTTTGTTTTAGAAGAACTTAAAGTTGGGTGGTAGGGATGGGGAAAGGATCTGAAAGGACTTGGGAAAGAGGTAGAATATTGGCCAAATTATATTTAATTTAAAATGGTTTAAGTAATAAAAATATGATAAAAAAGAAAATAGTTAAGTAATGAGTTTATATTTTTAAAAAGTCGATATGATTGATACTATAAATAAGAATATTCTAATCAAATTAAACCACAAAATTATAAAGATTTATAAAACATAAGAAAGGTCACAAGTATAACTATATCAGTATCCAAATGTAACAGAACTAAATTCAGTACGAAAATTATACTAAAGTTATAGTAATGAAAAATCTAGGCACATAGTAGAGCCCTTTCACAGAATCATAACTCATCCTAGCTAATAAATATCAAACATATTTTATCTCATTATTAAGTACAGATATGCACATTAAAACCAGTGTGAGTCATCATCCAATAACTACCACACTGACGAAAATTTAAGCATGATGTATCAAGTTACTAAAAGAAAACATAAGAATTTATGCTTTTCTGATTTTAGCAATACATGATTATTCATTTTCTTCAGAAACACAACACCACCTCTTTCAGTTGAGTACTCTGCTATGTGTGGCTCTGCAGTTCCATTCACGACATAGATTCTAGGAAAACTGGCGGAAGAATGCTCAAGAACTAATTCTGAAGTAATGATATTATCCAATAATTAAAGTATTTTATCTATGCAAAAAGTAATAAGCTCTCTTACATACTTTAGTCTTTTTTTCCTTGAGACCTTTTGGAACTAAGTAATATGGAAGGTGGGAAGTGAAGATGCGAGGTGATGACATTTTGGCGAAGTCTAAATTATGAATATTGTACTCCAAGAATGGTGCTCTATCTATTGTTGATATGTTTTCAGTCTTGTTCCGGTGACCCTCATAATAAATCAAGCTGAGGATATGCTGAGTCCAGATGGTACCTGTAAAAATAGATAACAATCCTGAGGTGGGTTTAAATAATAAATATCCATGGTAATGCCATCCATCATAAAGTCATTGATGCATTTTGAAAATATTCCGTATATACTAATGAGCATGTGGAGTTTTTGCTTTATTTTTCTGTATAATTAGATAAGACTACAAAAGATATAAACAGTGGTCCTATGTTGCAGGATATTTGATCACATAGTGAGATTGTATACTAGAAAAATCTGTCTCTGGTTGTGCTGTGGCCTTATCCTAGCACCTACCTTTCTTTAGTCCTAGAGCTTTGTGATAATTGCAAACAAAATTAAATAAAGTCAACAGTAGTTTAACAAGCAGAGAAAGCAGCTGTTTGACAGGGAGTTTACATAGAAAAAAACAAATAGAGTGGATGAAGTCAAGAGGTCAAACAGACACAGGAAGTAGAAAAGAGGAACACTCGATCTGAAGGGTTTTTAAGACTGTGTAGAGAAAGAAAGCAGACTCTTTTTCTAGGATGACAACTGAGGAGGAATGTCAGCTGGGTTCTTTCTCTGTCTCTCTAAGCCAGGCAGGCTTTCAACCCATCATCTGGCTCTTGAGTCTTCATTTGGTAAAATCAAATGATTGGAATTTTCTTTTAAAAACAACAATACTGATTTCAATTTTGAATTGTATAGAAAGTTTTTGTCTTCATTTCTTGATAGTGATTATTCAAATTATTCCTGTAATTTCTCTGTATTCTATGTTCCATGGAAAGTCTTCTTGTAGTGCTCTAAATTTCCTTTGGACAGATACTATTTGTAGATGTTAATAGATACAGTCTTACTAGACTATATATAGTGCTAAACTTACACCAGGGTTTGTAGCATTTATATATTACTGTTGTTTCGAGCATTATGACACATTTTTTTCTTGATCTTCAGAAACATTTCATTTTGCATATTGGGCCCCTTATACTGTGCATCACAGGCAGTGGTAATTTTCTCTGAGATGTCCTTGAAGTTCATCAATATAGTACTTCAAGTCCTAGTTAGAGCAATAAGACAACTAAAAGAGATCAAGGGGATACAAACTGTGAAGGAATAGTCCAAGTGTTGCAATTCACAGATGATATGATAGTATACATAAAAGATGTAACAAAATTCCACCAGAATACTCTGACAACTGATAAACAACTTCAACAAAGTGACTAGACAAAAAATTATCTCTAAAAGTCAATAGCACTCCTTTGTACGAATGACAAAAGGACTGAGAAAGAAGTTAGGAAGAAAACCTCCTTTGTAATAGCCACAAATAATATGAAATATCTTGGTGTAACTATAACCAAGCAAGTGAAGGACCTATATGACAAGAACTTTAAGTTTCTGAAGAAAGAAATTGAAGAAAGTGTCAGAAGTTTGAAATAGCTTCCATGTTTATGGATTGGTATGATTAACATGATGAAAACAGATACCTTCCTAAAAGCAATATACAGATTAAATGGGATTCTCATCAAAATTTCAACACAATTCTTTACAGATCTTGAAAGAACAATTCTCATCTTTATATGGAAAGACAAGAAAACCCAGAGTAGCTAAAAGAATCTTGAACAAACAAACAAACAAAACAAACAACTTCTGGAAATATTACATATCACCATCCCTGACTTCAAGCTATACTACAGATAAATAGTTACGAAAACTTCATGGTATTAGTATAGAAACAGACAGGTTGATCAATGGAATTGAACTCAAGTCCTAGAAATTAACCCACATAGCTAGATATTTCCGATTTTCACAAAGAAGTCAAAACCATACAATGGAAAAAGAGAGCCTGTTCAAGAAATGGTGCTGGTCTAACTGGATTCTGTATGTAGAGGAATGCAAATAGATCCATATTTTTTACTTTGCACAAAACTCAAGTCCAAGTGATTCAAATACCTCAAAGGAAAACTGGATACACTAAACCTAATAGAACAGAAAGTAGGGAGTAGCCTTGAACTCATTAGTGTAGGAGACAACTTCCTGAATAGAACACCCATAGATCAGGCACTAAGTTCAACAATCAATAGATGCAACCTTATGAAAGTGAAAAGTTTCTCTAAGGCAAAGAACACTGCTAAAAGAACAGAATGATGGCCTACAAATTAGTGAAGCATTTTCACCAACTTGATATCTGACACAGGGCTAATATCTAAAATATACAAAGAACTCAAGAAGATAGACACCAATGATCCAGACAACCCAATTAAAAATCAGTACAGAGTTAAACAGACTTCTCAACAGAGAAATCTCTAATGGACCAGAAAACTTAAAGAATGTTCAGTGTCCTTAGTCATCAGGGAAACACAAATCAAAATGATTCTGAGATTCCATCTTACATGCTTTAGAGTGGCTAACATAAAAACTCAAGGAATAGCACACATTCCAAGGAACAGGAACAGGGATATGGAGAAAGAACACTCCTTCATTGCTGGTGGGAGTGCAAACTTGTATGAGCACTCTGGAAATCAATTTGTCAGTGTCTCAGAAAATTGAAAATAGTTGTACCTCAAGATGCAGCTATATCACACTCCTAGGTATATACCCAAAAGATGTTCCATCATCCCAGAAGGACACTTGCTCAATTATGTTCATAGCAGCTATATTCATAATAGCCAGAAACTTCAAACAAGCCAGATGTCCTGCAACTGAAAAATGGATTTTAAAAAATTTGGTTCATTTACACAATGAAATAATAATCAGCTTTTAAAAATAAGGACATCAAGAATTTTGCAGGCAAATGGATGGAACTAGAAATTATCATTCTAAATGAGGTAACTCAGACCCACGAAAGATAGATATGGCATGTAATAAGTCATAAAATACAAGATAACCAGGCTATAATCTACAAACCCAAAGAAGCCAAATAACAAGGAAGGTCCAAGAGAGGATGACTGAATCTCTCTCAGATGGGGATATAAAATAGATATTGGAGGTAGATGGATCTGGGTTGGAGAACAAATGAAGAAGGAAATGAGGGCAGTGGGATCAGGTGTAGGAAGAGTACAGGAGAGAAAATAGAAATCAGTACTGGGCAGTGGGCCATCTCTAGAATGTGCCAGCAACCTGGGACAGTGGGAGGCCCCAGGGAGTCTGAGATTAATTCTACCTGAGACTACTAGCAGCGCAGGGATATGGAGACTGAAATGGATATCTTTTGTAGCCAAGCAATTCTCCCAGTGGAGTGTTATGGACAGCAATCCACCCACAAAACCATTGGCCATAGAAGATATGTAAAGACAAAGATGGAGCAGAGATGGAAGGATCAGCCAACTGAATGACTTGCCTGAATTGAAATCTGCACAAATGGGCAGGAAACAATTCTTGACACTATTAATGATATTCTGTTATTCTTATAGATAAGAACCTAGTATAACTGTTTTCTGAGAGTTTCCACCAGCAGCCAATGGAAACAAATGGACAGACCCACAGCCTATCACTAGATGGAGTGCAAGGAGTCTTATGGAACAGTTGAAAGCAGAACTGAGGAACCCAAAGTGTATAGAGACTCCACAGGAACACAGTCGACTAACCTCGACCCTTGGGATCTCCCAGACACTGAACTACCAACCAAAGAGTGAGCATGGGCTGGAACTAGGCTTCCCTCACATATGTAGCAGATATGCATCTTGGTCTTCATGTAGGTCCCACAACAACTGGAGTGGTAGTTGTCCCTCAACCTGTTGCCTGCCTGTGGATCCTGTTTCTCTAACTGGGATGTGTTGTCTGGCCTCAGTGGAAGAGGATGCATCTAGCCTTGCAGTAAATTGATCTGCCAGTGTAGGGTGATATGCTAGGCAGTGAGAGTTCATCTCTCAGAGAAGAAGGGGACAGGGGAGTAGAGGGAGATGCTATGTGAAGGAGGTCCTGTGAGATCGGGGTGATATTGCAATGTAAAGTGAATGAATTTATCAATGAATGGATGAACAAAAGAATGAAAAATATACAAAGATAATGATGATACAGGAAAGGTTCAAAATTTACAAATAAGTCTAAATAAAATGGAAACAAACACTAAGAGACAGAGCAAGCAAGGTCAGAACATATTACACCATCTTGTAACAAGACTTCAGGGAAATCTATATCTGTTAAGAAACTTAAAATGATTTTCCCAGCCTTGATAAAGAAACTATCAGGAGATGAGAGAAACCCAAAACCTTATTGAGAATTCAAATGGCAACCTATAGAAGCACTGTATTTTAAAAGATTTAAGGAAGCAATAACAAATTATGGTCTACACTCAACATAGATCAAACAGATACTCAATAACTGGGCCACATAATCATATAACTTCGAAAGATTCATGAGATTTAATAATAGCCATCCTAAGGCCTGGCCCTCAATTAAAATGGCTGATACTGTGGAAAGATGAAGCTTCAATCGGGAAGCAACAAAATAAGATTAGAAGCATTGATATTGTCAAGAATCAATTATGAAATTAAGGTCCATATTTTGAATTAATAGTACAGGTTACCCTTGATGATGATCTCCTACAACAATGTCCTGGAACAGTATCATACAATATAGCTTTAAGTGCTTGGGACAAGGTTGAACAACAGGGACAAGCTGAATTGTATACAGAGATAACCCAGTGTTCAAATAAATCATTTTACAAAGACTAACTACAGATCTAAATAAAGAAATATGAGATCTAAGTGCTAAAGAAAATTTAATTGAATCTTTAGCTTTTGAAAATGTTAATGCTGAATACAAAAAGGCTGCTATACCTTTAAGGGCCAAATAACACACCTCTTTATAAATGGATTAAAACTGCTGAGGACACAGAGCTTAATGCTCACAATTGAATTATGGTTGGACAATTACAGCATAAAAATTCCATTGCTATGGCTGTGTGAACAATCGAATCATTCCATAAAGGACTTCAAACAAACAGAACCTAAGGATATATTCTTCTATAATAATAATGACTCAGGGAAATAGTTTCTAATGAAATGTAGAAGATGTAGAAAGAACTGTCATATGGCTCATGAATGTATGTCATCCAAAGTAATAGAAGCTTGTAAATATGGTACAGAGATAGAGGAAGACATGAGAGTAGGGGAGGGAGGGGGTGGAAGGAGTCCAGAAACATGGAGAAGACCTGAAGCATGGGAGTTGAACAGAGGTAATTAATCATGTAGTAGAATGTAGATTCAAATAAATGGAATATTAAGCTATGTTCTAATCAAGGAACTAACCAAAGCTTATGGCCAAGGTGTTTGTAGATATATTTTGAGTCTCTGAGCCATTATTCCCTATGCTTGGGGCCAGGAGGAAAAACTCGATTTTACACATGCTTCTTAAACTGTGTTAAGTAGATCTCAGTTTCTGTGGAATAATTTTAATGTAAGTGATATTCAGTATAAAATTCATACTAAATCATCAAGCATTTGCAATAAGAAGAAAAGATTTAAGACTGTATCACTCCTGTCTGCAAGAACAGGTCAGTGCTGAACAAGTGCCTGCTCTTGGCTCTATGCTGAACATTTCATTCCCATAACTTGCCATCATAGTGTACAGTATATGCACTGAAAGTGGCCTTCTATCATACAGATTGAAGCTTCATTTACATTTTATCTGATCATAGATTCTTTTTTATTGCACATTTTATTTATTTACAATACAGATGTCATCACTTTTCCCCATTTGCCCTCTCTAAAACCCCTTATCCTATACCCCCTCTTCCTTTATGCTTTTATATCATTTTGATTACATGCATGTATTAAGGTCAGTTCTAGGTTGAGGGTCTAGCAATACAATAGATGCAAATAGTCAAGGAACAAGCAATTCAATAAATACAAACAGTCAAAGAAAAAGCAAGCCATTAAACCCAGTTACATGAACACTCCCTTGATCACTGTTTCTAAAGGCTTATCAGGATAACCAAAGTATCTGAGCCTATTTCCCTATCCTAGCCCAAGGTCATTTTCATGTCTGAAGCCTACAACTTTGTTCTGGCTTGAAATTTAGATTCCTGTCTGAAATTACTTCTTTGTTCTGGCCTAATATTTAGATTCCTGCCTGTGATTTCTTGTTTCTTGAAGCCTATGATTTAGACTCCTAGTTGAAATTACTTTTTTGTTCTAATCTAATGTCAGATTCCTGCTTGAAGCCTACTTCCTTGTCTTGGCCAATGTCATATTCCTTCCAAGCAGCCCCTTTCCTTGTCCTTGGCCCATGTCAGCTTCTGTCCAAGCAGCCCCAAAGGCTGTCCACCTCTCCCCATTTTATAACCTGGGCCATATCTTAGGTAAGGCTACAGCAACATCCGCCCCAAACAGGGAGTAAATGAGACCCACTGGGCCCAAGGAATTCACTCCTGCCCCAGAGCACTGGTTCCTTCATGTCTGAGCCCCAGCACAGAGCAGATCTTGGGGCTGAGCTCTAACCCCAGTAGCAACACCCACCTCACACAGTGCTGACACAGCCAAGATAATAGGAAGACAGGCTCCAGTCAGGGACAGGGCAGGTAGCACTAAGGAGATCTAGAAGGCATAAGACAAGTGAAAGAACGTAAGCATCAGCAACCCATGTTACATGCCATCATCAGAACCTAGTTCTCCCACACTAGAAAGTCCTGAATTCCCCATGTTACGAGGAAGGCAAGATTCAGATTTAAAATGAATTCTAATGATGATGATAGTTGACTTTAAGAAGGACATAAATAACACTCTCAAAGAAATTAAGGAGAACACAGGTAAACAGGTATAAGCCCTTAAAGAGGAAACACAAAAAATCCCAACCAAACAGGTGAAGGAATTGAACAAATCCATCCAGAACATAAGAATGGAAGTAGAAACAATAAAGAAATCACAAAGGGAAACTACCCTGGAGATAGAAAACCTAGGGCAGAAATCAGGAGTCATAGATGCAAGCATCACCAACAGAATACAATAGATAGAAAAGAAAATCTCAGGTGTAGAAGATAGCATAGAAAACATTGACACAGCTGTCAAAGAAAATGCAAAATGCAAAAAGTTCCTAACCCAAAACATCCAGGAAATCCAGGACACAATGAGAAGATCAAGCCTAAGGATAATAGGTATAGATGAGAGTGAAGAGTCCCAACTTAAAGGGCCAGTAAATATCTTCAACAAAATTATAGAAGAAAAGTTCCCTAACCTAAAGAAAGAGATGCCCATAAACATACACGAAGCCTACAGAACGCCAAATAGACTAGATCAGAAAAGAAATACTTTCTGTCACATAATAATCAAAACACCAAATGCACAAAACAAAGAAAGAATATTAACAGCAGTAAGGGGAAAAGCTCAAGTAACATATAAAGACAGACTTATTAGAATTACACCAGACTTCTCACCAGAGACTGTAAAAACCAGAAGATCCTGGACTGACATCATACAAACCCTAAGAGAACACAAATGCCAGCCCAGGCTACTATACCCAGCAAAACTCTCAATTACCATAGATGGAGAAACCAAGATATTCCAGGACAAAGTCAAATTTGCACATTATCTTTCCACAAACCCAGCACTTCAAAGGATAGTAGCAGGAAAGCTCCAATACAAGGATGGAAATTATACCTTAGAAAGAGCAAGAAAGTAATCTTCTTCCAATAAATCCAAAAGAAGACAGCCACACAAACAATGCCACAGCCAATAACAAAAATCACAGGAAGCAACAACCTCCTCTCCTTAATATCTCTTAACATCAATGGACTCAATTCCCCAAGAAAAATACATAGGCTAACAGACTGCATACATAAACAGGACCCAGCATTTTGCTGCATACAGAAAATCCATCTCAGTGACAAAGATAGACACTACCTTAGAGTAAAAGGCTGGAAAACAACTTTTCATGAAAGTGGTCATAAGAAACAAGCTAGAGTAGCCATTCTAAAACCTCCAGCCTGAGAACACAAAGGGAGAGACCCGTGGATCTATCTGTATAGATAGTTGAGGGTTGCCTTGTCAGGGATCAGTGGAAGTAGAGTGCCTTGGTGCCTGAAAGTTTGGATTCCCTAGTGTTGGGGAATTCGAGAGCCGAGAGGCAGGAATGGGAGGATGGTGGGAGCACACCCTCATAGAAATAGGAGGAAGTGGGATGGGATAAGGGGTTTTGGGGGGAGAGGAGATAACATTGAAAGATACATAAATAAAATATACAGTTTAAAAAATCAGATAATGGGTCTGGCAATTGTAGTAGAGCAATCGAGACTTCTTGTCAACAATATATTACAGTGAATTTGTATAATCCTCAAGAACAAGGTATTATGGAAGATGCCCATGGAACTTTAAAAATATTAGTGAGACATACTGTTGCTGAGACAAAGAATGATGCTGACCTGTGAGCTTGCTGAGTGCCCTGGCAAGGGTAACTGGGGAGCTGTATTGGACATATGTTCCCGACCCACCCTTGCTTGACTATATCCCAGATGAGACAAGCTGCCTTGTCTCAAGTTTTTAGACCTTGTTGGATAGAGAATTGAAAAGAGAAATGATGCCTCTTGCATTCTTCTTAAAGGTGCCCAGGTATTAGGACTCAATCATGTACTGGTCTAGAAATTAATCCAATATGGGAAGTAACAGTCTACTTTCAGGAGACTTGATCTGGACTTTGTCAGAGACATATTTGGAAGTTAGCTGATCATAAATTCTTTTGTAAATGTGTTTTTGCTGCTGTTGGTTAGTGGAAGGAACCAGTTTTACACCCATAGAACTATACCAAAGGAGACATTGATGGCACTTACCAGATTTTGGGTATGTGATGATGAAGACATCATCATCTCTAATTTCAAAATCTTCCATCTTTTCTAAATCCTCAATGTTCACAAAAGCTTTCTCAAAATTGTATTCTTTAAAGTTAAACAAATATTCATCTGTGTTGTCCATAATTATTCAGCTAGAAGTAAAAACACAGGATTCATTTTGTGAATTAAGTATTTATTGCAATCCTGAACACTAATTACCGAGAAGTCAATAAGTGCCAAGCACCATCTAAGCATCTTATTTGTACAAATACTTACTCTAAAGAAACAAATAACAACAATGGTGTTAACTAAATACTATAATACTTTATTATAGCCATAAATCACCTGACTACACATGAGGAAACAACTAGTAATATTCTAAATACATTTTCCTATAATTCCATGTGGGAAAGATTATCATAGTTCTACACATACAGAAGGGGATATGTGGCTACACAGATGTCAACCAAATTATCCAAAGTCACAGAGCTAGCCCCTCCTCAGAAGATTTCATAACAAAAATTTGGGCACAGAGTCCATGCATTTAATCTAGAATATTTCTTAATTTTATTACCTGAATGTTTTCATTCTGAAAAAATAAATTATTTTTGGTGTGTCTTTTGTCTTTAATGTACAGTTTGAAAAACATGCTCTCTCTAAATGAGGCTTCTGGGACTTACCTACTAAGTGGCTACTTGAAATTACTAATGCTAATGTGTGTGCTTCTGACAGGTTACTCACTTACACTTATAAGGTCTTGTATAAAACTTTTCATAATTTCAGTTTCCACCCAAAAAAATCTGACATCAGAAATGTAACTGAAGTCTAAATGATAAATGAACTAAAACATACAGCAAACCATCATAAAACTTACCTGATCTTCTCAGAGTTTGATCTGGATCTTCCAAAGAAGTCTCCCTCTACTTGAAGGTTACAATAGTGCGGGAATGCTAATAGTTCTTATATTACCTTAGCACTAGTGGTATTCCCTTGAATTATTTATGTTTTAAAATTCTGTTTCTAAGACATTCCATTTGATTAAATCTGAAAATATAGAGTTCACTTAATTACATGTTAATAAACAATATAATTTGTTGTGTGGACGATCTGAGTAAGACAAGCACTCTTCATATAGTGTAGGCTGGCCCAGAACTTAATATATAGGTCAGGCTAGCCTCAATATGCATGGATGCTCTTGCCTATACTGGGATTACAATCATGTGTAACATACTGGACTAATATCTTTACAGACATCTATCATATAGACAATCACTTACATTAGAATCACCTGGGTAAAACTCTGTGGGTGCAGAACACAACTAAATGTACATAATTGAGGCCCTCCTGCCTTGAAGGTTCCCTCCCTGACAACTCACATCTATCCATCCTGACTACAGAGTGTTGGAGATAGAAAGGCTAGACTGAAGAAAACACACACACACACACACAGACACACACACACACACACACACACACACACACTATTATTTTAGTGGAGGTAGATAACAGATAACATTGATATTGAAAAAGAAAAATTTATCTCTTGAAATATGCTAAAAAGAATATATAAGACATAACACTGATCAATGGAGAGTCCATTCATAGAGAATATTGCTGAAGTGAAGAGGAAATAGAAGTGAGTCACTGTCAGTTCTCACCTATAACCCAAAATACCTTCCACACTCTCTAAATACCCATTATGTATTTTACCTTGACCTTCCTGAATAGAAGTGCCTGAATGCTTCTGAAGGAAATTTTTCACTTTTTATTTATTGTGTTCACTCACAGTAGGTTGTGCTTCATTAGAAAGAAGAAAGGGAGGAGACAGAGATGTGGGAGAAGAGGAAAAAAGAAAGAGAGAGAAGGAGAGATGAGAGAGGGTAGAAGGAAGTAGGGTGACAGAAGGGGGAAATTTTCATTCTCTAAAATGGGTGGAAAGTGGAAGTGAAGAAGATTCATTTTGAAAATGGACATCAGAGGATTTTTGTGATGGAAGAAAAGTGGTTATATAAAGAGAAGGCAAATAAGTATATGTCCCCTTATCTTTTTCACTGAAGCTCAAGAAAAGGAGGAAAACAACGTCAGTGAGAAAAATACTGTGACAAAGTCTCCTCATGTAGCCCTGGCCATCATCAGACTCAGTATAGAAACCAGGCTTATCTTGAACTCACTGAGAGCTACCTTCTTCCTCTTCCAGTGTGTTGGGATTAGAATCATCCACCACCATACACAGACTGTGCATATACTATGCAGAAACAGAGAACCTTGGTATTATCTGAATCTATTTTGTTCTACTCACAGTTTGCAGATGAAATGATGAAGCAAAACCAGTTCTGATGAAATGTTAAGGGAAGCAGGAATTGATGGGTGGCTGAGGTATAAATATTCCCTGTCATATTTTACTTGGCCAATGGCAAGTGTTCTAAGTAAACTGAACTCACCTGTGATACTGTGACCACTTCAGCCTGAACAGGCTAAACAGACCTTGAATATTTACCACAGCAAGCCTTATCGGTCTGGATAGATATGTTTGCCTTGGCTCAGCTGCAAGTTATGACTTAATGGAAATTGAGGTTACCGAGAACTGGAAACTTACTGGATTGGCTGCCATGCTGTAACTATCCTGTGTTACACCATGCTCTGAACTTGGGTTTTGTGGTCTTTCCCTTTACAAGCACTGTGCTAATTATTAAACTTTGAGCCTTGACCAAAGGAGAGCCCTGCTTGAACTTAAGTCGCTGGACAGCTACATGATATATTGGGTAATATTTCTGGGTAAAGAAAAATCTTATCAGATGATTTTAGGAGCATAAAAGAAGTTAAACATTATACAGATATGGAAAACAAAGTTCACATTTAATTAATTATGGGAATGATTAGGTAATCAGCAAGTTATCTTTGACATCTATAGCTACAGCTTGCTAGCATAACTTCAAGCACAGGATAGTGACCAAATACTTTTAAGAATATCTCATTGGCTAGTTTTAGTTTTTCAGGGCTTTATTACTCTTGTCTTCATCCAAGTTTTGTTGGTTAGGTTTTTTGTTTGTTTGTTTGTTTGTTTGTTTTGTGTTCAACTTGACACAATACATCATCTGAGAAGAGGGAACTTCAATTAAGGTTTTATCAGATTGGCCTATATGAGAGTCAGTGGGATATTTTCTCAATTAATTATAGATGTAAAGAGTTGAGTCCACTATGGGCTTCCCACCCCCTAATTGTTCTGGGTTATACAATAAAGAACACTAACCAAGGCAAGTAGAGGAAGCAAATAAGCAGCATCCCTCCATATCCTCTGCTTCAGCCCCTGCTGCAGGTTCCTGTCTTAAGTTCTTGCCCTGACTTCATTCATGATGGGCTATAAGCTTTAAGATAAGCACTTTCCTACACAAATTCCTTTGATCATAATTTTAACACAGCAACAGGGGAAAATTAAGTCACTATATGTGCTAGCTAGCTTTATGTCAACTTGACACAAGATAGAGTTGTCAGAAAGGTGAGAACCTCAATTGAGTAAAGGCCTCCACAGGAACTGGCTATGAGGTATTTTAATTAGAGATTGATGGTCAACAGCCTAGGTCATGTTAAGTGGTGCTATCCCTGGCCTGTCTTGGATTCTATAAGAAAGCAGGCAGAGCAAGCCAAGAGGAGCAAACAAGAAGGAGTACCCTTCCATGTCCTCCATATCAACTCCTTCCTCAAGGTTCCTGCCCCCTGTTTGAGTTCCTGTCCTGAATTTCATTGATGATGCATGATGATATGGAAGGGTAAGTCAAATAAAGCCAGTCTTCTTCAAGTTGCTTGGTCATGATGTGTCATCACAGCAACAGTAAACCTAATTAAGATGAATTGGTACCAGGATAGCGGAGTATTGCTGAGAAAGAACTTACCATGTTGATTGGGAAAGATGTGAGAAAAACTTTGGAACTCTGGGCTAGAAGATAGTAGAACAATTAAATATTGAAAGCTCAGTGAGCTGTTCCATAGGAATCTGGAAGATTAAAATGTCGAGAACAATGCAGAGTGGAAGCATACCTTGTGAAGTTTGAAAGGGAAGTGAAGATACTACTGGGCCATTTATGCAAAGAATCTGTGGTGTCTGGTCAACTAGAGTTGAAGAAATGGCTATGATTAAACAAGAGTCCAGTGAAACATTCACTTGGCTGGAGTAATAGATGCTGGTCAGCTGAGACTGAAGGATCACCTAGGATTGATCACCTAGGATCAGAACAATCAAAGTAAATCCTTTGCCTTGCAAGAGTAATAGTTGCTGGTCAGCTGGGGCTGAAGATTCGTTAAGACTCATCAGCATTATCAAGTGAAATCTTTCGGGGAAAGTTCCTCAGAGTCAGCTTATAGAAGCTATGTTCCAGAAGCAGACGAGGTTGTACTTGCATCTGAACTTGATAGTTCAGAATCCCCCAGGTGGTACTGGTTTTGAAGGCATAAAGGAGTTGTGGAGAGCAGGTGAGATTTGACACAGTGTGGCAGGGCTGGAGTCCCCTGAAGAGAACCCAAAGAAAATATTTTTAAAATTGCAGTCCAGTTGCTGCTAAGGGACCTTAGCAGTTTTGGAGATGCCTGACATGGGATGACCACCAAGAACAGCAGCGGAAGTTGAGTGGAGCCTGGAATATAAGTTGTATGTACTGCAAAAGACCATGGAGGAGACAATCATAAGTCATTTCCAGAAAACTGAACATTGAGGTATTTACACTTTAGAGTTAGACTTCTTTACTCAGATTGTGATTGTGCCTGGTTCTTACCTCTTGAAGTAAGAAAATACTTAACTTCTTTTTGGTTGTACAGAAGCCTACAGTTGAGAGATGTTTAATTTTAAAAGATTTTAAAGAGATTGAATTTTTAAGTATTTGGATTTTTTTAAATGGTGGGAATTTTAAATTTTGGAATGCTTATATTGTAATGTCAATACTAATGTATGATCTTTGGTAAAGAACAGGAAAGGAAAAGTTATGGCTAACAATAATGTGTTTGTATGTCAAGCTGAAAAGGGAACAGTTGTGCTGCCTAGTTTTATGTCAATTTGACAAATCTAGGGTTACTTGAAAAGAGACAACCTCAATTGAGAAAACTGATATTTTCCCCATAAGGTCCAGCTGTAACAAATTTGTCTTAATTAGTGATTGGTGGACCAGCTGATTGTGAGTGGTACCTCTCCTGGAATGGTAGTGCTGGGTTCTATAAAAAAGAAGGCTGATCAAACCATAGATAGCAAGCCACTAAGAAATACTCCTCATAGCCACTGCATCAGCCCGTGCCTCCAGGTTCTTGCCTTGTTTGAGTTTCTGTCCTGATTTCCTTTGATGATGAACACTGGTATGGAAATATAAGCCCAATAAACTCTGTCCTTCGCAAGTTGCTGTGGTCATAGTGTTTCATCAACAGCAACGTTAGCCCTAAGAAACCATGTTCTTGTTTGCACCTAATCTGTTTCTACCATTATGAAAGCAGATCACACCAATGAGGTTCTAATAGTTTTATAAAATCATTTCATATGTTAATTTCTTTTCCAACACATTTAGTGTCCTTAGTGATTCCCTTCCAACTTCATTCCTCTTAAAGTTAGCTTTTGGTTTTCTACAATTATAGGCTTTTGTTTGAGACCTGTTCCACCATCTTGTCTAATCTCTTAGCCTATTTTTCAGTCCTCTCTTTCTTGTATATACTGCTGTTAGGTAATGATTCTCAGATGCCCACAAAATACAAAATTTGATCCCAGAAGAGATTATTGGTCTGTTCAACATACAAATATTTCCAGGTAAATGAATAGGAGATCAACTAAGGGTAATTTAAGCCTCTAAACACTGAGCTTATCCCAGTGAACATAATGACAAAACTAAGGAAATGCTTGAGAAATAATCCATTTTGTGAGGAAATCATAGTATAAAATATGGATATCATTGTGAGGGTGGGGAACCTACTTACTAAAATGAACTAGTCTTTGGATTTAAATATGTGATTTTTCTCAACCTAAGGAACAAGCCAGATCCCCAGTGAGATGGAAGACAAAGCACCAGAATTACACAGTATTCCACTACAGCTGACCAAGTTTGCTCAGTAACATAGGTGTACCACATGCACTGGCCACTGTGATACTTTAAATTTGCAGTGGGTTTATTAGGGCTGAGCCCTCTTATGGATTGTGGGATTTGTACAAGCTTTCAATTCCACTCTTACTTCTTGCACTGTCTTCTACCCTAGAGTGACCATCATTCTTTTATACTGTTTTAAAGAATATAGGGGGCTATTTAGTTGCTCTGTTTCCTACATGCCCTGTGATTACTTTTTTGAATGACCTCATATCATCTTGAGTATCTTGTTGTTTAAGGAGCTTCTTGAGCTTCTGAGTGTTTCCAAGTAAAATGGCCATATAAATAAAAAAGCACCCAAACTTATGGAAAACCTTGGATTTTTTTTGGAGAAAATACATACTTTTTGAGAAAAGTATTTTTCCAATTATCTTCTTAAAACTCCTTACCATGTTTGTTAAAATGCATATTCAGTATTATCTAGCTTCTGCAACTTTTGCCAACTTTTTAGGAGTTGCTTGTGTGTGTTCCCCTCCAAAGCTATCATTATAAGTTTTATTCTAACTTTACAACATAGTATGACTTTCATTATCAACTTAGAGACAATATTGTGTTTGCATATAACTTTAGGGTGTAGCTTAGTGTGAGTAGGCCAATAGATACAAATGATCAAATAAATATATAAATCAATATTTAATGTCTGCATTTGTATTAAAATAGGCTATACATAAAACATTTACACACAAGGATCTTTATCATTTCCTTTATTCAGCACATTTTTAAATGATTATAATTAATGAAATCCACAATGATTAAATCATTAATATTACAGTTTATATTGTGTTGCAGTACTATAGGTCACTCAAGCACTAGAACCATGGTTGATGATCAGTTCCACAACTTGCTGGTTGTTGGACTAAGTTACACTCATTGCACAGTTAAATAAAGAAAACAGTAAATGCTAGTGGCTTTAAATGGATGTAAAGTAACACAAATTTCTCACAGGAAGAAATAAATATTGTGTTCTAATTGGTGAATGTTTAGCTAAAGGCCTCAACTGTGGTGTGGTATACTCTCAAGGGAATCCCAAAAGTCTAATTGGAAAAAAAGGAACGAGCTGCAGACAGAATGAAGGGAACTGTTGGGTAGGCTGCTGACAGGATCTACTAAAGCAGCAATGCCAACAGGAGCCAAAATTGGCTCTCTAATTCCCCCTCCTACTGCCTTCAAAAGTACATCCAGTGTCATTGGTGGAATTGGACCCTAAATCAGAAGGTGGATTTCTCATTGGAT